AAAATAGTCTACATTGACCGTAAGATATGGAGTGATCAGGTATCTTCATTCTCATCCTTATAAATTTTGGAAAGCATAATGACAATAATCTCTGCAGTCCGTGTTGACGGTAATCTATCTAATGATGTATATATCTAATTTCTCGTGCTAATACACTGTTGTCCCCATAACGACGGTAATCTATCCATTGATGTATGTATCTACATTCCCATGCTGATTCACTGTTATCCTCATAATGACTGTAATCTATGGAGTGATGTATGTATATACATTCCCATGCTTATACACTCTAGTCCCCAAATTGACGGTAATCTGTGGAGTGATCTAGTATCTACATTCTCATGCTGATACACTGTTGTACCCCAACGACTGTAATCTATGGAGTGATGTATGTATCTATATTTCCATGGTGTAGCTTAGTACATGGGAAATATGTCCAAACTCAATCTGAACTCGCTGACTTTATTCACTCCCGAACCTTTACATGTGGCTCCTTATTCGCTTAGGCCTACACAGCTTTTATAGTATAAAATAACTGTGCACATGTAGCCGTGTGTGGTAAGTCTAGCCTTGCTGTTGTGACTGTGGTTACGACGGTATACGGTTGCGTGTGGTTGCAGTATAGTAGCGGTTCACTAGAAACCAAAAACAACAAATAACAAATGAATAATAAATGAGAAATAGCGTGGTCCAAGATTTTAACTTAAAACGTCTGCTTGAACCCTCTATGAAATGTACATGATAATTGGTATCTCGGCGAATGATTAAAATAAGCCCAAGTTTATGCCCCCAAATCCTCCCAGATTTTCAACTTTAAACCCTTTAGAATGGCCCAAGTTTACTTCATTTAACTCCTTAATGCTTATAATTTACATCTAATAACAATTTAGACCAAATACATACCGACTGTGTAGAGTCTGGGGCAATTATTAGCGTAAGTTTCTGGGGTTTTACGTTACTTGCGTTCGGAAATTACATGTCATGTGTGAACCTTGACCTAAACCCCAAAAATAGAACGAGGGCGCCCTACAATTTTATGAGACAAAAAAGTTTCTCGGTCGGCAACTATCCAGACGTTATATTCCCAGCCCCAAATGAATCAGCTTAAAGGATGTTCATTTCCAAATTTGTATAACGTCTTGTCGCAGCCCAAGTGTTGTCGACCAGTTCTTGGCACTCTCCACAAGACACAGTTTGGTGATAGGTCGTTTCAGCTCGCTGGTACCAGTCTTGACATCCACCTGTCGAACATTTCCCTCGTGATCTGGATAGGTGCGACTGATCCTTCCCAAAGGCCAACGCCCACGAGAAAGATTCTCATCCGCTCCAGGACTAGATCTCCAACTTGAAGATTCTGCTCTCGTTGGGTCCACTTTTGACGAAGTTGCAACATAGGCAGGTATTCGTGCACCCAGCGTCTCCAAAATTGATCTGCGAGATACTGAGCCTGACGTCAACGTCGACGACCGTATGAATCCTTCTTCTGGAACAGACCGGGAGGCAAACTGGGACTACTTCTCAACAGCAGCAAATGATTCGGTGTCAGAGGTTCGTCTTCACCTGGATCAAAGCTCAGTGGGGTGAGCGGTCTTGTGTTAAGATTGCGTTAAGGTTACCAAAACGTCATTCGTCACAACTTGCTCTTTCAGCAGACATTTCAATATCTTGCGCACAGACCGTATCATTCTCTCCCATACGCCAGCCATATGGCTTGCCGTTGGAGTGTTAAATTGCCACTTGATACCCTGTTGCAACAGAAAGTCGCCGATCTTTCGCTGATTTAGATCATCAAGACTCTCACGTAGTTCTCGCTCTCCCCAATGAAGTTCGTCCCATTGTCACTCATGATGATCTTTGGCCGGCCTCTTCTTGCTATAAATCGGCGATAGGCATTGATGAAACTGTCGGTATCGAGAGAATGGGCTACTTCGAGGTGAACTACACGCATCGACAAACATGTAAAAATACACCCGTACCGCTTAACATGACTTCGGCCCTGCTTAACTAAGATAGGACCAAAGTATTCGACACCTACTGATGTAAACGGTGGATCATCTGGTGTTACTCTAGCTGCCAGTAAGTCAGCCATGAACTTTTGTCTTAATGGAGCATTTCTCCTCTTCCACTCGAAACAGTTGCCAATGATACGTCAAACAGTTGCACCACCTCTAACGACCCAGAACTTCTCCCTCAACGACGACCATGTCATTCCGACACCAGAGTGACCAACCTGTAAGTGATGGTGTATGATGATGAGATCTGTGACCTTGTGATTACTGGGAAGGATAATTGGATGTTTCATCTCCTCATCGATTGGTGCATTTCGAAGGCGGCCACCTACTCGTAAGATGCCATCCATCAAGACAGGATTAAGCTTCTGAAATGAAGAAACTCGTCTTTTGGCCTTCCTTCCTTTGGACACACTGGTTTGCCTTCGGAAAATTCTTGTTGCTGCATGTACCGTATGATTTGTCTCTCTGCAGCCTGGCACTCTTCAAGAGTCAGAGTTCCCTGCTTCAGGACCTCATCCTTTCCTTTCCCCTTGCAGCGTAGGTGCAGGTTGTTGACAAACCTTAAAAGCCAAGCAACTCCTCTCTTCAGTCTATTCCATGACGAATACTTGGCCAAGAGATCATCAATCTTT